TTTTTCTTCCAAATTACCCTGCACACCACATCTAAATGGTACTTTTGGATTAACACTGTTCTATCTGGGCTATGAAACAGAAAGTCTTGGCTCTGGACACTTAAAACTCTAAAACTCAGTTTGCTTAACTAGATAATAAAACTAACACATATCACACGGATTGAGAATTAAAGGAGAATATATTTGAAAATACTTCATAAACTATAAAGCTCTATAAAGATTTGCAAAAAATTATATCTATACATCTACATGACTCAAAGATAAAAGAATTTTGAAATATACATTTGTACAGGGATTGACAGTTCTTAAGTATCTTCATTTTTCAATAAAACTTTACTGAAGCCTATTATAAACCAGGTACTGTACCAGAACTTGGGAACACATAAGTGATCAATACAGGCAGCGTCTTTGCCTTCATGAAGCTTAAAATAACTCTGAAATAGGCAAATTTATTCCTCTAAATTAAAAAGTACAATCTGAGGCTTAGAGACTCAAGTGTGAGTTTCCTAAAATCATAGTTTACACAGTGGCAAAAATGAGACTAGAAGACATGCTTTCTGATTTTTCAAACAGTGCCCTTTCCACTATATCACTGTTTCTAAGAGGTATGATGATAAAGGATAGTATCAGTTAAGAATTCTGAGATACCTAAGAGCAGGATGATGGAGTCTACAGTCTGATATTCCAAAAAACAAAAAACTAAACTAAAAATCAGACATTTCTTACCTCATGACCTTTACCTTTGAATTTTGCCTTGTCAAACACATGCCTTAAGGCTGGAAGCCCTCTCTCTGAAATTAATCTGTAAACAGAAATATGTTTTGAATTTCAAGTTTTCTGGAGTCATGGAATACAAACCAAAACCATAAGAAGAAAAAATGTTTCCTGCTGAACTGGGGGGAAGAAAAAAGTCTTTAGAAACATCTGATCTCCAAATCATCGCAAACAAAAGCTTCTAACATAACAAGAAAAACAACGGATAGGAGTATAATGTATCAGAAAACAGTAAACTGTACCTCTGAGCATCCAGCTTAGGTATATTCCTTTTAACAGTTCTCTTTGGCGGTACAGGAAGAGGTACTCTCCTCTCTGACTCTGGTGAAACACACCAAGATTTAATGTTACTTAAATAATTGAAGCACCATAAAACATATCATTTCTAAGCTGATAGGTGGACAATTGCACATGGAACTCCCTGTGGAGACCTTCATCAGGTTCAGCTCCTTCACCATCTTCTCTCTCTGGGGAGGCTGGAGGTGGGAAAGGAGGGAAAGTTTCATCTTCCACATGCTCAAAATCTGGTAGTGCAATCAAGCCATTCTCCTGTGGCTCTAGCATCTTTTCCTCTAGGGAAAAAAAAAGCAAAAATATTTTTTATTCATCCAAATAGCCTTCCTGTTACTGTCAAGCTCCATTTGCAGCAACATTCTTGTGTATCAGTTAAACTGCCTTTCAAACTCACACAACATGAAAAAGAGTAGAAAAGATAATAATTACGAAAAAAATAAATGGGCTAGAAATCAGAAGAATGGAGTTTTAATGTAGACCCTACCAATAAATAACTATATGATTTTGATTTATACAACTGTTGAGTTTCTCCTATGAT